TTAAAGTCGACATGGCGAGTTTAATCTCGTCATGGCAAAAATATTTTTTCTCTTCATGTGTGGCCCTAATACTCCGTCGTAGGAATCGGTTTGTCAACAATATGGAGAAGAAAAATAAACATTTTCATTGTATTTGGGAAGGAGAGGAAGGAAATAAAAAAAATATGTGTTTCAATAAAACAAACTATAAAAGAAATCATTAAGAAAGAGCTTGCAATAGATCCATCCTTTATAATTTTAGATCTACATCCTAAGCCCTCAAAATTCACAAAAAAAATGCATATGTCTATTGATATTTGTTCCCTACAATCAAAAAGGTTAATTGCAGAGCTGGAAGGATATCAGAGTATTGGAGAGTGGCTTACAAAGAAGTTGACTGCCCTTCCTCTGCAACCAATTACATACCTACTGAATGGGAAAAAGGACAAGTTTGAAAGTATTTGGAGACCTTTTATACTTTTGGCTGAAAAGACAGATTACATGGGAGATGAATAAAAGCTAGAGCTAAAAGCTAAATGTGGTTTGTTGAACAATAAGACACCCTGTACATTCATAAACACCATGTATATTTACAGTATATTGGTGAAAATTATTATTTCCTAATGTCAGTTAGTGACTTAGAGGATGTTTATTTGTTTGTGATAGAAAAATTTAAATCCAAATAAAGATAAAGTTGGGAAAAGAAAAAGCTTAAGAGGTATAACAATCAACAGCTGTGAGTAAATATGTTATTTTCCCAAATAACTATACCTGAATGTATTCAAATATATATTCCTTGATATGAACCTTTGTATTTTAAAATATATTCAGGACTCAAACTGTGTATTTTGAAATCAGTAAGACTGATAATGCTGAATGACCAGATGAATGTTTTAGTATACAGAGGTGTGGATTTAACTAGCATGTGGACAAGAAGAATATCTCGAATATATTTTCCTGTGTGAGTAATCTGAGTTTGGGCTCTGTGCTTGTGTCCTTCTTAGGACTATTGTGACAGGGTAGAGCATTCATCCTGAGCATGCTGAAACTGGCTGGATATTACTAATCTGTCTTTAAAGGAGTGCAGGCAAATCTGTCCTGATGCTTTAAGTTTTAAAATATCACCCATTAAATGTTGATGTAGGACTGTCAAAACAATAAAAACAGCCTTATCCAGCACAATTAAAGATTGATTTGCCTCTTTTGAGCTTGTTCTGACGACAGTATGCGTATGTTAGGTTGTGCTCTTACTTATGTGGGGGTAGCTGTTCACTTAGAGATTGCTGGGTAGCTCTGAGGTAGCTCTGACGACGAGCAGCACTTTTGGGCGAAGGTTTAGGGCTTCCATCAGAGTCGTCACTGTCCTCCATGTCTCCCATGGCCTTTACATAGCTGCCACTGCGCATCCGCCGACATGGGATCTCATTGAAACCCGCACCGCGACCTAATGAGCTACTCCAATCCCCCTACATGGAGCATTAAAGGAACAAAATAAAAAAAATAACCTAGAGCTAGCTTTTGCAGAAATGTTTTTACACACATACATTTATTTGTAATGCAAAAATATAGTTAAGACTTAGAAAATGTGTTATTTATATCAGTATATATAGCCATAGTATTGCCTAACAAAAACAATCATCAGTATATTTTGAAGGGATTTTAAGCAGTATGTCTTTATGTAAATACAGGTGCCCTCCACACACTTTAGTTATCTAGTTTTTGAATTCTTCTATCAAATAAAATAAAAATAAATTACATTTAAATTACTTGTTGCAATGTAACAAAATAAATAAATTCAAGCGTTTAATACCTTTACACAACAAGTCAAAGTCAAATAGGTTTATACTTCTGTCTACCTCCTTTTCAAACAGATGTGTAAGTAAATATATATTATAGTTTATGAATATAGATGGTTATGTGTTTGAAACAAACAAACAAACAGGACACTGCATACTCACCCTGCGTCCAACTTGTAGATAGTTACGAGTTAATTCCTGCTGGCAGGACTTGGACTTGAGCATTGACCTGTCCAGAGTAGTTGAACCCTTCTGAAGAACCTGTCTTGGTTGACCCATGGTCAGTGTGGACCAAGATCCTCCTTTAACATACTCTGTATCGTTTATCATCATACCCATTGGTCCACTAAGTCCACCACCAATATCCCCAACTCCAGGAAGTGCTGGATACTTCATGTCATTGCTGCTTTTAGAGGAACTGATAGTATTGTAGCCACTGTGGATGTATTTATTCTGACCACTATGGCTTTCATGGCCACTTGGACGCCCAAGGGTCATCATGGTCATAGTATTATGATAGCTGCTCAAATCACTGCTGTCCAAATCATCTGAGCTCCAGTACCCTGACATGTTGGATCTCGGCCTTCTTTTAGCAGTCGCCTCAGACTTTGTAACACGATCTTTACTTTTGGATCTGCGATTGTGCTTCCCTCCATCCTCAGTGCCGGAAGAGGTGCCTCCACCGCTGCCAGTTGATCTTCCATTTACATTTCCCTTCATGTTGTGGCTCTCCAGCGATTGGGACTTAGCGAAGAGCTTCTGCACTGAGTGCAGCATGTAACGAATGCGACCAGGACTGTCTGTCCGCTGCTTGGCAGCAACAGCAGCCGAAGTCCGATGAAACTGTAAAGTGCTGAATCCGTCACGACCTCCAGGAAGCTGCTTCTCAAAATCAAGTAGACTGGGTGGGGTTTGACTCTTATTGATATGGTGTGATATGGTGGCTGAGCCGCTTGTGATCATAGGTGTTCTACCACCCAGCCCTGACATGGCCATACCTGATCCCATGCCCATTGACAGAGACGTTCCCATGGTGCCTGTGCCTATCCCGCCGATACTGTCACTAGGAGGAGAGAAATCGGACTGGTCGTAGGAGTTGTAATGAATGCTGGGAAAAGTGCTGCTATTGGAAAGCTGATTGTTGAGGGGCAACATGCAGTCTGCTGGAAGGGAGCCTGGATTGGCAGAAGGATAGAGGTGGGGGTCCATGGTGCCGTAGTGGTCCATTGTGGGGCTAAGCAGGTAAGGGCTGCGTGGCAGTGTGCTGGTCTTCTGGTGGTAGAGAGCCTCTGGGTGATTTAGAGAGGGATCACAAGAGTCAGACAGATGTCTGTTACGGTTGGTCCCCAACCCCTTCATTATGGCAAAGAGGCTCAAACCCTCTAGAAGACCTCAAGGCCAAGAGAGAAGAGCCTATCTTCAGGTTGATTCCTGCAAAAGAGAGATAAACATGGTAGAAAGACAAAAGGGTCACAAAAACATCATCACACATACTTACATGTAAGACCACACCACAACACAAAAGACAAGAAAATTACAAGTTTTCAAGAACCTCCCACTGCAAACCCTTGTGCTGGTATGGTGTAAATATGTGGAAAAAACATGTGGAACAAGGACAGGCTGTGACCAGCGGGTCAGTGAATATATTACTGCTAAGGGAACAATTGCTGACAGACACTCCTCCGTATTTATGCAGGCTGTAGCAGCAGCCAGAGAACAAATGCTTTCTTTTCTTGGTAATTACATTCAGAAATTCAAGAAAAAAAAAATAAGAGCACCATTTACCATTTCACATAAGTCCATTTGTATAAATGTTAGATCACAATATGTTTCCTCAATTCTATAGAAACAAACATCACAACAGATATAATGCTTAAAATTTAATCCTGCCCAGTTTGCATCATATTCATTGTGTTGTTCCTCTACTATATCTGTAGATATCCATGGTTTTGGGACTATTCCCCTGTCTTATCTTTGATTGATGAGCAGACCTTATGTGGAAACTAGTAAAGAGGATTTGGCCAGTGGGGGGTGGGGGGTAGTTGGCAGGCATCGGCAGGTAGCTCTATCTGCCTTCCTGGCCAAGCTGTGCCAGTGCCATGCCTGATGGGGCAGCAAGGACAGGGCTTCCTGCCATGGGCTATGACACATTGTGGTCCAGGGTTATTGTTTTAAAATAAATTAATGTAATTAAACTTTTTCAGCAGTTATCAATTGTAATAAATAATAAAGCATCGGCTTTTTATGTAAAATTCACTCTTTTAAACCACTGGTGTTCAAACTTTTTGATGAAGGGGACAAAATTCATTTTGAGTGAGTTTTAGGTTAATTAAAACATTTTTAGGCTTAACAGCAAAATTAGAATGCTTTAAAAACAAGTAGAGCATTCTGGATTGTGTAGAATATGGATCAATAATTAATGTAGTGAAGGTTTACTTGTGAGTCCAGACAGACATTTCTCCTTGGCTCTACCTTTCCAAAATGGTTAGGGTTATCCTAAGCTATATACTATATCTATGCTGCTATAAGTTTAGGCTGCAGGAGGACATAGCCACCGCTTTTACTCCTTTTGCTTCAATCTATCTCTATTTTCCCACTCTGCAGTATTTGCTAGTTAAACCCATAACTATATGTTTTCTATGCATTTCCTTGTCATAGCTAGTTTATCTGGTCTTTTCATGTTTGGCTGTAAATCAATTTTGGAGAGAAATATCAACATCAACACATCAGATTATAGATGATAGAGTCAGGCCTGTGTTTAGTTTAGTTTTGTTTCTCTCCTACACATAGCTATTGGTTCAGCTTCTACTGTTATTAACTGTATATGCTTTGATTCATCCTTTGGCATAAAAACATACACAGAGCTCATCTGCTTAACTATCTCTTTCCTAGACAGAGCCACCTCTCTCCTTAAACCCCAAGCTAATTAGTCAGTATTCTAACCAATATCCAACCCGTGTAATGGATCTGTAATCCTGCAGGCTGCAAATCGCACCCCGTCCTCACTTTGGACACCAATGATTTTAATCAACATTCAAGTTTCCCTGAGAACAGTCCATGGTTGGGGTGTGAGGGGTCATTGATGATGTTATGGGCTTGGAACACGCAGCGCTGGGATGAAATGTCTTTTATGGAGGGAAGATGCATCTTAGATTCTTCAAACTATTGAAATTTGTATCATAATTGGCTAAAATATAACTTTTAAGAGCTGAGCAAAGGAATACACCACTTAACAGAAGGATGGCTGGTCAGTGTGTTTGGAATGTGGCTGATGGATAGTAAATAGAATATTGTAAATAAACTTTGCTTATTACTAATTTAAAGTTATTGTTTAGTTTGAAAAAAAGTCTATGCTATTGAAAATGCGCATCAGTTTCATTCCAATCACTGTACTGCATATTAATCGCATGTGTAAGAATGTAACCCCTCAGGACAGAACAGAACTTGGAAGCAGATACACAGAAACATCTTTTCATCTGGTTAGTTGGACTTTTTTATTTCAATAATGTTTGGGCTACAATAAAGCTGAAAGCTGATGCCATGACTGCATAATATCAATACAAGAAGTGATCAGTCTGTGTGAAATCATCCTGATTTTTCAGCTGTATCAGAACTCAGCGCAAAAAAAATGTATAAATCCATTCTTTTAAAGAGTGAAAGGACTCAAATCTTATGCAGCCCTAAAAGTAAGAAATACCTTAATGTCTTTTCTACGTAAATGGAACTTTTCTGTTTCAGTCTCATACAGACTCTCTGTTCTACACGATCATTGCTCGATTTTACAGTAACACTACAACCTTCTTCATAGTGTTTTTTCTCTTGTTTTAATTGTCTCTTGAAATAAATCCAGTGAAAGAAAATGCAACATCTTAAGTTCAGACTGGAGATGATTCAATGCTATAGAAGCAATGGGACTGAATGCATGGAACAAGCAAAAGAAAGATGTTGGAGGGTAAAAACTGGGCAGTATTTGATTGATGTAAGAGAGACTTTAAGTAGGTTAGAGTCCAACTGAGTAGTGGCCTCGTGCTTAGAGAACAGGGTGTTTGCTTCCTAGGAAGCTTGCTAGATCTCTGGTTCAAACTCAGTCTGGGTCAGATGGAAATTCCTCAACTTACAGGACACATCTTGACAAAGGAAGCTATGTGCAAACTGTTTTCTACCTTTTTGTGTACCTTTTGGAGTAATAGTTCACACTGAGTGGCATTTCAGTCCATGTCAGTAAAAAAAAAACAGGAAAAAAAAAAGTGATTGTGGGTCAGTTGCAGTTCTAAACCTAATTCACCAGAGGGGGGCAGTGGAACATGGAAAAACAATCAGGACAAAGCAAAGAGCGACTTGTGGCTCTGAATTGAAAGCAGTGAAATGTCCATGTTATTTAGTCAAATTCAAATGTTATGTTGTTCAAAATTAACATGTATATTTCTTTTTAAGTGTTAATTTCACTTTACCTAGCATTAAAGCTACCTTATCATCGAAATATCAACTGAAATAATTAGTTTCAAGGTAAATATCTAATTCAAAGTGGTGGTGTTACATGACCACATAATATCACTCTCATTTGTTGATGAATGTGACCATTTGATGATTGATGTGACCAGTGATGCAGCATCATGGGCAAAGCTGCTGTTACAAAAAACAATGGGTTCTACTCAGTATTTAAATATGATAGCAGTAGGGTCTTCTTGCTGCAGAATTTCTAAAAGATTTAATTCGAAAAACATTAAGGAATATACATTTGTGAAACGATAATTATAGATGATTTGCTACATTACTAACTAAAGGGACAGCACTCAAATTTTTGAGCTATAAAGTTGGACCAAAGTGAAGGGTTTTTACAAAAAAGGTTTTACAAAAGTAATGTTTGTCTTTTGAATATAGATCAAATAGATATTTTTTTGAAATATTATTTAAAAGTACATCCATGTTTTAAAGAAGAGCACATATTTGTTTTACTTACTTTAAATAAAAACAGTTTTTAACCAGTTGAGAGTTAGAATTAGATTAAAACAATGAAATCAAACTCCGAACAAATCTGTAAAGGTAGAAAATGTTAACTGATGGGTCTCAAGTCATCAGAATCACCTAGAAGCTATGGCATCACCTGGGTTTTTCACAAGACTTTTTTTTTTTATTGTTTTAAAGCATAGTTATATTACCAGACATAATCTAAAAAAGTAATACACTGTAAAATATTTTATTATTCTGACATTTAGAAATGTAATTATTTTTAATCTTGTTAAAAGGTAAAATGTTCAATCCGATCTGATGTCTGAAAAAAGTTGGGTACTTTTCCCTCATTAAAGGATTTTCCAATCAGTCCAAGGCAATCAGTCTAAAAGCTTGTATTTGGGTTTGGCAAAACAAAAATGCAACAAACATGATGAATAATGAAAAACGAATCCAACTTCAGTTAAAAAACGAATTCTAATGCCTTAAAATCAGAGGAGGCAATAAAACATGTTGTGTCACCATTCATGCCGCTAAGTGTAAACACGGCCATTTCTTACGCTCATCTTCAAAGTTCAAGTTGTCTATTTGCAGGAATAAAAGCTCCTCATTAAATTCCGTCTTTCATGGCTCCATTATTAGCATGCCTAAGGCACAGACTCATTTAACGTCATTAACGCGGCCTTTCTGAATGCCCTCTCTGCTGATAGGGTCAAATCCTCTAAATCCTTTTACACAACATTAACTAACTGCCTTGTATCCCATCATGACACGCCGCTCAGCTAAGCTTGGCATGGTCTCCTCCATGTGTCAACAGCTCCGCCTTTAAATGACAGTGATAGCTTTGGTGGAGGGTGGCTCATCAAACCAGCAGAACTGACTGCCACTTTGTCATTTGAACTTTGTTCGATTTGGAGAACAACCTAAAAGAGAAAACCAGGGGAGGTAGTAGTGTAAAGACATTTACCAGCATTCAAAGGAAATAAACAAGGGATTTAATTTCCTATTATTTTTCACATGTTAACTCTGAAACACAAGCATTTGTAGGAAGGCAATTTCAGAGCCAATTAGATGGCAGTGTCAATTTAAATGATCTTAGTGTTACGTTAATTAGATTTGCACTAGCACCAGGCTGGAGTCCTAAATCCACTAATTTTTTTTTCATTTAATGAAAGCAACCTGGGAAAAAAAATGCAGGGAGAGTATCTTTAATTAAGAATGAAACATTATGCCAGCATTTTCTGAAAACAACTACAGAGGATGCAGAGTGATTAATCCAAGCAATTAACCACAAAATCAAAATAAACTGCAGTTTAACTGCCTAAATTCATTATTTCTGTCATGCTGTTTGGGATTTATCCCACAAATGCATTCTGAAACACCATTACATTTTTATAAGATTTCATGTTTTAAAAGGGCCTTCCAAAAAACATAGATATGACATCACAATCATGAACTTCCAGTAGATTCAACTATTACAA